TTTTGACAGGCAGAGTTAGACAGTGAGAGAGAGAAAGGTCTTCCTTTTTCCATTGGTTCACCCCCAAGTGACTGCTATGGCTGGCGTGCTGTGGCAGGCGTGCCACGCCAATCCGAACCCAGGAGCCAGGTACTTCCTCCTGGTCTCCCATGTGATTGCAAGGCCCAAGGACCTGGGCCATCCTACACTGCACTCTCGGGCCACAGCAGAGAGCTGGATTGGAAGAGGAGCAACAGGGACAGAATTCGGCGCCCCAACTGGGACTAGAACCTGGTGTACCAGCGCCGCAGGTGGAGGATTAGTCTAGTGAGCTGTGGTGCCGGCCCATAGAATTCCCACTATGGTTTTCTCATTAACTCTCCCCTAAGAATGTACTTCCTCCATTTTTTTTCTTACTAATTACTCCAATTTATTATTATTATTATTTAAGATTTATTTTATTTATTTGAAAGGCAGAGTTACAGAGAGAAGGAGAGGTCTTCCATCCACTGGTTCACTCCCCAATTGGCCACAATGGCCGGAGCTGCACTGATTTGAAGTCAGGAGCCAGGAACTTCTTCCGGGGCTCCCACATGGGTGCAGGGGCCCAAGCTGTATGGGAAGAGGAGCAGCTGGGACTAGAACCGGCACCCATATGGGATGCTGGCACTTCAGGCCAGGGCCTTAACCCATTGCACCACAGCGCCTGCCTCTATTTACTCCTATGTTAGAACAGTACACCCTTCCTTATTCCACCATCTTGGAATCTTCCATGGTTCACCTTGGTTCAAAATACATCTTCAGGAATTTGCCCATTTCTTCCAAGTTATGATATTGTTGCCATATAATAGCTCTTAGTAACTTTTTTATAAATATTATTTATTTATTTGAAAGTCAGAATTACACAGAGAGAATGAGAGGCAGAGAGAGAAAGAGAGAGAGAGAAGAGAGAGAGAGATAGAGAGATCTTCCATCTGCTGGTTTACTCCCTAGTTGGCCGCAACAGCCTGAGCTACGCCAATCCGAAGCTAGGAGCCAGGAGCTTCTTCCGGGTCTTCCACGTGGGTGCAGTGGCCCAACGACTTGGATCATCTTCTACTGCTTTTCCAGGCCTTAGCAGAGAGCTGGATCAGTGAAGTGGAGCAGCCGGGGAAGTGGAGCAGCTGGGACTTGAACCAGCAGTGCCCATATGGAATGCCGCACTGCAGATGGTGGTTTTACCCACTATGCCACAGTGCCAGCCCCAGCTCTTAGTAACTTTTTTTTAAAAAAGATTTATTTTTATTTTTTACTTGAGAGAGTTACACAGAGAGAGGAGAGGCAGAGAGAGAGAGAGAGAGAGAGAGAGAGAGAGAGAAAGGTCTTCCATCTGCTGGTTCACTCCCCAGTTGGCTACAATGGCCAGAACTGCGCAGATCCGAAGCCAGGAGCCAGGAACTTCTTCTGGGTCTCCCATGTGGGTGCAGGGGCCCAAGGACTTGGGCCATCTTCTATTGCTTTCCCAGGCCATAGCAGAGAGCTGGATCGGAAGTGGAGCAGCTGGGGCTAGAATCAGTGCCCGTAAGGGATGCCGGCACTTCAGGCCAGGGCGTTAACCCACTGTGCCACAGCGCCGGCCCCTCTTAGTAACTTTATAATCCTTGTCAGTACTTTGGCAGTTTGATGTCTGTTTTCATCTCTGAGTTTATGTATTTCAAACTGTGTTTTTCTTAGGTAATCCTGTTATGGGTTTTACAATTTTATATCTTGTCAAAATACCATCTCTACATTTCATTGATTTCCCATTAGTGTTTTGTGTCTCTATGATTTGTGCATTGAGCTTTACTATTTTTGATCTTCAATTAGTTTTGGATTTGATCTGTACCTGTTTTTTCTAGTTCCTGTAGGTACAGACATCACCTGTTTTTTATAAAGATTTATTTATTTATTTGAAAGTCAGAGTTATAGAGAGGCAGAAGCAGAGAGAGGCAGAGAGAGGGAGAGGGAGAGGGAGAGGGAGAGAGAGATATCTTCCATCCATTGGTTTAATCCCCAGAGCTGTGCATTTCTAAAGCCAGGAGCCAGGAGCTTCTTCCTGGTCTCCCATGTGGGTGCAGGGGCCCAAGGACTTGGGCCATCTTCCACTGCTTTCTCAGGCCATAGCAGAGAGCTGGATTGGAAGTGGAGTGGCCGGGACTTGAAGTAGTGCCCATATAGGATACCAGCACTGCAGGTAGCAGCTTTACCTGCCACGTCACAGCTCCAGCTCTCCCCCCATCCCCACCACCGCCGGCTACTCCACTTCTCATGCAGCGCCCTGCTAATGTGCCTGGGAAGGCAGCGGAAGATGGCCCAACTACTTAGGACCCTGTCATCCACATGGGAGACCCAGAAGAACCTCCTGGCTCCTCTCTTCAGATTGGCCCAGCTCTCACAGTTACGGCCATTTAGGGAGTGACCAGCAGATGGAAGATCTCTCTCTCTCTCTCTCTCTTTCCAACTCTGCCTTTCAAATAAATAAATAAATGTTTATAAGAACATAAAATGACTGTTTAGGCCTAGCAGCAACATGAAAGTTCTATAGAATGGGACTTTCATGAGCACAGTCCGTGTATTCTAAGTGAAACATATGCCCTGCACATCTGAAGGTAACAAGGCAGGTCACCCAGTATTCCTGGAGGAGGTGGATGTCATTGAGTCCTTGTCTTCCGAGAGTGCAGGCATGTGAGGACGAAGCTGTGGGGGTGTTCCACGGGTAGCATGGAATGGTGTACCCTGTTCCTTCTGAGCTGGAGCCAATGTGCAGCAGAAAGGCTGTTGAAATAGGCACCGAGCAGAACAGGTCGGCCAGTGTGCAAGAGCAAGACATTCACCAGTTGTTGAGAGCAGAGAATCGGTAATAACATTAGGTACGGATGGGTCCACAGGGTGATGCTGTAGCACTCCATCACAACACGCCCCTGACTCTTCCCTGATCTGAGAACAGCAGCAGCAGTAGGGATAACCACCCACCTGCTAATTAAGTTTGATACAATAGGTTGAACACCTCCAAGGCCTGTTTTAACTTGCAATGTATGCTGCTTAACTTAATTTACCTGAGGACTAATGGGGTCCAATCCAATCCAGCCAATTTATATGTGAAAAAACTTGCCTGTTACTTAGTTAATGTTAATCAGTTGTCCACTGTATCAGAACATCTGTGTCCAGCATAGACTACCTCACAGCAATGGATATGTGACTATGGGAAATACAGGAAGGAAAGGGCAGAAGTGAGGCATAATCATTTTCTCAATATTTTATATATTGAGAGAATATATATATATATATATATGTATATCCCTTCTACTGACTAGAGGGAGTTTTTTGTTAAGCATTCTGTATTTATTTGAAAGGCAGAGTTACAGAAAGGCAAAGGGAGAGAGAGGGAGAGGTGTTTTATCTGCTGGTTCACTCCCTAGATGGCTGCAGCGGTCAGAGCTGTGCTGATCTGAAGCCAGGAGCGTCTTCCAGGTCTTCTATGCGGGTGCAGGGGCCGAAGAACTTGGGTCATCTTCCACTACTTCCCCAGTCCATAGTAGAGAGCTAGACTGGAAGTGGAGCACCTGGGACTCGTATCGGTGCCCGTATATGATGGCAGCACTGCAGGCGGTGGCTTTACCTGCTACGCCAGAGCACCAGACCCTAGGAGCAGATTCTAATATCAGTGGAATTCCCAGGTATAATGATAATTTGAGTCCCAGAATTAAATTTGTGATTTCCTATCAAGTAGTGCATTTTGGCTCATGTTATAGTGAAGTTAGAAGCTCAATGTTATGGAGGCCAAGAAGCCAAGCAGTGTCCTTTTGTCTTTTTGTTAGACAAATACTTTAGTACATAATTCAGTATCTGGACCTCCAATTGAATTAATGATTAAACTTTGACCCATGGGACTTGGATCTCATGCAAATCATGTATTTATCATATACTTGTTTTTTTTTAAAAGATTTATTTATTTTATTTGAAAGGCAGAGTCACAGAGAGGCAGAGGCAGAGAGAGAGAGAGAACAAAGACAGAGAGGCAGAGAGATGGGTCTTCCATCTGCTAGTTCACTCCCCAGATGGCTGCAATGGATGTAGCTGCGCATATCTGAAGCCAGGAGCCAGGAAACTCTTCTGGGTCTCCCATGGGGGTGCAGGGGCCCAAGAAGTTGGGCCATCTCCACTGCTTTCCCAGGCCATAGCAGGGAGCTGGACGGGAATTGGAGCAGCTGGGACTCAGACTGGCTCCCATGTGGGATGCCGGCACTGCAGGCGGTTTCTTTGCCCACTACACCACAGCAATGGCCCCTAATGATATACTTGTATTAGAGTACTACCTCTGGGTAGAGAGTTTAGTTCACTACCTCTTCCTCCCCCACCCACATACAGGGACTATTCACAGACAGAAGCAACCCAGGGCAGGGCGAGCATTCTGATTGCTAGAGCTGGCATTTATTCAGTATCTCAATGTTCCTCTCTTCTGGCGACTTTGCCTTGACGCGCCCTAAAGTGGTAGTCTCTGTTTCGAGTTTTCCCCTTTGATGAGGAGCATGCAGGACGTTCCAATCCGAGGCTGCCACTGGCCCTAGAAACAAACCGGCCGTTCTCCAGCGGGGACATGGAGCTCATCAGCAGAGAAGCGGCTGGGCGGCTAGGATGTGAAGGATGGGGACGCTCTCGTCGTCAGCGGGTCTTCACTTCACCCGCAAGGAACCACAGACTCACTTCCCCATCGCTAATCCAGAGGTGAGCCTGCCCTTTGCTCCAGCACTCTCTGGGATGCGACTCCTGCCTCCACCCTTCCACTGAAACTGGGCAAGGAGAACCACAAGCGTCTGCTGACTGACTTTCGAAGCTGAGGCCTGCCAAGGAAACCAGGCTGACCTGCAGGGTCTGCATGAGCGTTCCCTGAGCACACTGCCACCAGAGGGCGACAAGTCCAGATATGGGACTGTATCTGAACTGCCCCGGGCCCCGGGGCAGATGAGGCCAACACAGGAATTCCACGCAATGTTGGCAGAAAATGCAATTAAAACACAAGTTTATTGTGGTGCAAACAGAACAGGGGAACTGCATGTAAAACGCTCGGACATGGTGCAGCTCCCAATGCGCCAGAGAGGGCAGAGCACAGAACACGAGAGGTAATTTAACTTGGAACTGGGGTGAACAGGGGAAGGGGCAAAAGCAGACGCAGAGAGGAAGGTCCTATTGACGTGTATCTGGAGGGAAGCGGCTCTGTGTCTGGTGGAGGATTCTGGGTTCCCCCTGTGGAGTAGAGCAGAGCCAGAGCAAGGTCGAACCCAGGCCAGGGCCTGCCCGCCTCCCTCCTAAACAGCCAGGATGGTGGCAAGTGGCATGGCAGGGGAACACTCACTTCACATCCCCCCGAACTTCTTAGTGATGTACATCAAGATGGCTGGAACAGAGACACAAGGCACTGCAGTCAGCCCTACGGAAACCTGGTTCTGTGCTCCCGGGGAGGGGGGAAGCGATCACCTAGCCCTGCCCCCGTGCAACCCTTCCAGCCCCCCCCCCAAACAGCCTGGGACACACCACCCACCATCGCCTGAATTACCTGTGGAAACTTCTTCTAAACAGGACCAAAACGGACCAGTGGTTCTCAATCGTCGGGTCGTATCAGAACCATTCAGAACATGTTAAACAGCAACCAACCAACCAACAGCAGAACCCTCACAAGTCACAACAAGCACCACCACCAGGCCAAACCCATGCAGTAGCTCTAAACATCTCGAGGAAGGAGATCTCTGGGTCTCTTTGGCAAAATTCAGCTCGGAAGTGCACTTCCCCCTGTGCAACCCCTGGCTACAAAAACACACAGAGCTCCAGGAGGCCTGCTTGGTTCTGCTCTCCTCTGGAATGAGGGTCCCAGTGTTACTGCCCGCACCCGCAACCCACCTCCACCCCATGCTCTGGCACCTGCAAAGTGACTGCTTGCTCACAAAACGACTACTTGGTCTGCCCCAGTCCCATCCCCAGCCTGGGCTTTGTCATACCTAGTTCTTCTTTAAGGTCTTCTACCTCCTTCTGTAGCACAACACACTGAACCAATGAACGAGAGAGAGAGAGAGAGAGAGAGAGAGAGAGAGAGAGAGAGAATATTACGGCCTCCCCCTTCCCCATCCGCCTCGCTGGCCCTGACGTCTGGCACCTCCCACACCCCGGTGGGCAGGCTGCCTTGAAATGCGAAATGAAAGGAGCGCCCACTATCCATGGTGTGTGCGACGGTGAGCAGGGGCACAAGGGTGAGCTGGACCAGGACACAGATCCCACCAGGGAATTTGGACCCTCATTTCTAGCAGCCGGAGACAGCATTACCCGAGGACAGCCCTCGATTCCAGGTGGTAACTGCTGCACTGCTGGTCTCCGAGGACGGACAGGTGGCTCCTGGTCTCCTGAAACAGAAAGCACAATCCAGCTCCCAGCCCGGGAGTGAGGTAGAAAGGGCCTGGAGCCGTCTAATGTGAGGCAGCCTCGCCCTCTGCTGACAACAAGTTGCCCGTGCTCTGCCCAGGGCCTCGACCACTTCTCTGTGCCAGCCCTCCCTGCCCCACCGTGTCAGCCCGTGTGCCACTGTGGCTCCCTAGGACTGTGGCTCTGGAGCACAGAGCAGAGCCACAGGCCCAGCCAGCTCCCGAGAGGGGCCATGAGCTATGCAGGACTTCGCAGGAACAGCTCTGTTAAACTGTCCACCTACTTCTGGTTTTGGAGCTTGGGGCCCAGCAACAAACCACCCCCACCACGTACACTCCACTCAGAGGAGGCTGTGGCTTCGGGGCATCCCTGATGACCCCCGTTTCCTGTGGACAGCTGACTGCATAGGCAGGGAAGCCGTGGAGCAAGGCTGAGACCCCAGAGGTGACAGGGCCGGGGGCTTCCCTCCTCTATCCCTCCTAGTTCCCCGAATGAACCCTACTGAAAGTACCGGAGCGTGCACGGCCTCTAGGTGGGACAGCTCCCGAGCTCTGCAACAGGGACTGCAGGTTCCTCAGAGCGCGTACTTCTTGGGGGGTAGGGACCCCACTGCTGAATTCTCCACGATGCTGGTAAGACGTCGGGGGCCTGCTTGACAGAAACTAAAACCAAAATTTCTTAAAGCTGGGCTAGGCATCAGAGACAGTGTGTGGTGTGTGCGCAAGGGCACCAGGCTTCAGTGACAGTGTGCGGTGTGTGTGTAGGGGCGCCAGGCGTCAGTGACAGTGTGTGGTGTGTGTGTAGGGGCGCCAGGCGTCAGTGACAGTGTGCGGTGTGTGCACAGGGGCGCTAGCCGTCAGTGGGAGTGTGCGGTGTGTGCGCAGGGGCGCCAGGCGTCAGAGACAGTGTGCGGTGTGTGTGTAGGGGCGCCAGGTGTCAGTGAGAGTGTGCGGTGTGTGTGTAGGGGCGCTAGGCGTCAGTGAGAGTGTGCGGTGTGTGTGTAGGGGCACTAGGCGTCAGTGACAGTGTGCGGTGTGTGCGCAGGGGCGCTAGCCGTCAGTGGGAGTGTGCGGTGTATGCGCAGGGCCGCCAGGCTTCAGAGACAGTGTGCGGTGTGTGTGTAGGGGCGCCAGGCGTCAGTGAGAGTGTGCGGTGTGTGTGTAGGGGCGCTAGGCGTCAGTGAGAGTGCAGTGTGTGTGTAGGGGCGCCAGGCGTCAGTGGGAGTGTGCGGTGTGTGTGTAGGGGCGCTAGGCGTCAGTGAGAGTGTGCAGTGTGTGTCTAGGGGCGCTAGGCGTCTGTGGGAGTGTGCGGCGGGCACGTAGGGGCCATGGTGAGGTGAGGTCAGGAGAAGGCAGTGGACCTGGAGGCTCTTTCTCCATCCGGGAACCTCAGGCCAGGGGGCATCTCTGAGGCAGGGAGATGATGGAGGTGAGGAGAAGCCCACACCTCCTGCCATGCGGCCTTGGGATGCAGCTGGCAGGCAGGAACTGGAGGCTGCGGAAAGTCAACCCTGAGGCTGGCAGCCCAATGCTGCGGGTCCCCCGCCGTGTTCCACATCAGCCGCAGCCCTGCCGTCCGCCCCAGCTCCCCTCTGCACAGGAAGCAGGACCACGCAGACGTGCAGAACAGTGCTGCTACCTAGCAGGTGCCCTCTCAACATCTGTCCCTGCCCTGAGGACCTCAATTCCACAGCGGATGACCGAGGGCTCGAACAGCCTGCCTCCGGGAAGGGACGGGGAGCCCGAGACGACGGGTGCGTGCCAGGGGAGGAATCTCAGCGCGCACGTGGACCGGGATGGAGAGCAGAAGGCATGCGGTGCTTACTCACGTGCGCACCGGGGACTGGATCTCTCTTCGCGCCACTCTCTCGAGTCTCCACAGCCTGGGACTTCCTCCTGGCCTGAGCTTTCTTCCCAGCGCCACCCTGCTTCGACGGCTTGCGTCCCCAAGGGAACGCTGTGCTGGGCTTGCCAAGCAGTGAAGTGCAGAATGGGAGCAAGCCGGCCGCTTCCCGGGGAGCTGTGGCTTGCCTCTGGAGCCAGGGAGCAAAGGCTGCGCCCGGGCCAACTTCGGGGGCAACCCCTGGGGGGTTCTCCTGGGTCACCTTCCTCCGGGGAGTGGCCTGAGAGCAGCCCCCTGCCCTGGCAGCAGCTGCAGCCGCTCCTGGGTGCCTTGGCCTGGCCCCTGCCTTCCCGGACACCTCGCCCTGCATTTTCTTAGAGGCAGAGGGCCCCAGCTCCCCCGCCGCCGGCCTTTCTGGGTGGCAAGTGGGACCCCGCGCAGAGGTGCGGGGAGGGCCTGGCGTGGGGGCGAACTGCTCCCTGCTGTGGGGAGTCGCGTGCCTGGGGCTCTCTGCCAGAACCTCGGAGCTGCTGCCCTTGGCCTGGCCCCCTGCTTTCAGCCGAATGCTCCCCCTCCTGGGCTGCACGTCCTCCAGCTCGGAGGAGGCCTCTGAGCCGGAAGACAGCCCCTCGGGGCCTTCCCCGTAGGCGCGCTGCCCCCGAGGGCTGCCGCCTCCCATCTCGCTGCGGGCCTCGGCCCGGCCTTCCCTGCGGGCACTCACTTGCAGAGGGGCCGCACAAGCCTGCAGGAATTCCTCACAGCTCGCCCCCAGCACGCCTCTGCCGCCACCGCCGGCCTCGACGCGAGCCAAGATGGCGGCCGCCTCAGCGCTCGGCAGTCGGCGCCGGGCCCCGTCCCCCGGGCCGCTCAGTGGCCGCTCGGGGCCCGCACAGCCCTCAGCGACCTGGGACGCGGGAGCCCCCGTGCCCTCGCCCTCCAGGACGGGGGTGCCAGGCGGGCCCTCAGCACCCCAGAGCACGCCCGCCCCCGCCTGGGCCATTTGCGGCTGGACCTCGGCCCCGCGATCCGACGCCAGCTGCCACTTGGGGGCCTGCACGCTGGAGGGCCCGCCGTCCCCTCCGCCCTCGCACCGGGGCTGGCCCTCGCCGCTGCCCGCTGGCCCCCAAACCAAGCCTGCTGCTGCTGCCCGCGAGGCTCCGCCACCACCTGCGGCGGTCTGCTCCTCGCGCTCTGGGCCGCTACCATCGCTAAAGCCTGACGCCCCACTGTGGGAGCTCATGGCGCACGTCCGGGCGGACAGGGCTGAGGGGAGACGGTGGACTGGGCACAATCCTCGCGGTGGGAAGGGGCGCGTCAGGAGGACGACGCCTGGACCCGGCCGTTACCGCAAGGGTCGAAGGGAACCTCCTCAAACCACGCGAGGCTTGCCTCGTGGTCTCTCGTGACGCCCAGCCCACCTCTCACTGTTGGCACTCCCTCCTGCGCTGCCACTCAAGGACATACAGTCTTAAGAACATTCATGGAAAATGTAGATTATGAAAAACTAGGCATGAATTTAAAATGCTTTGACAGCAAAATAAATATTTTAATTCCATTTCCCACTAACTTTAAACAAATTATTATTATTTTTAATATATATTTTATTTAAGTTATACAAGTGTTATTTATTTCCTTCATACCATTGTAGGAACATTGTGGCACTTCCCCCCATCCTCCCTCCTACCCACACTCTAACCCTTCCTCCCCCACATATTTCCACTCTTAATTTTTACAAAGATCTTTTTTTAGTACACTTAATGCTCTTATACTTAATGCTACCCTAAGTAAAAGAGTTCAAGAAATAGTACGAGGAGAAAACAAAAGAAAGCAAAATACTGTTTCTGAATGAAAGAGACAAGTGCCATAAATCATCATTGATTACCAAAATGTCTATTTCACTTCATTATATTTCAGGTACTCTATTCCTTACCTCTGATCAGGGAACACATATGATATCTGTCTTTTGGGGACTGGCTTAGTTCACTAAACATAATGGTTTCCAGTTGCAACCATCTTGCTGCAAAACACAGGATTTCATTTTTTTTTACAGCTGTATGTATATACCATAAGTCCGTGGCGAAAATACCTTCTATCTGTGCCTTCTAACAGGGTGAGGATCAGGTACAGGGAGGTTTAGAGAGTTAGCCAAGGTCATTGTTCTTGCCAGTATTAGATGCTGGAGGACAAGAAGCAGTCTTTCTCTGAGTCAGTTTTCATTTTAACTTTTTTTGAAAGAGAGGGAGGGGATAGAGAGGGAGAGTGGGTGAGTGAGTAGAGCTCCCATTCTGTGGCTCACACCCCAAAAGTCCACTACATCAGGGGTCAGAACCAGGGAGGTGGATAGTCAATAAAGCCCTCCCACGCAGGTGGCAGGAACCCAAACCTTTCAGCCAACCCTGCTGCCTGCAAAAGTGCAACTTAGCATAGCTGTAGTCTGGAGTCAGGTCTGGGGATCTAAGCCACGTATTCTGGTGTGGGTCACTGCATCATGATTGGAGACTTATTTTCTTCAAAGATTTATTAATTTATTTGAAAGGCAGAAAAAGGGAGAGAGAGCATAAATAGACTTCCATGTATTGGTTCATTCCCCAAATGTTCACTATGGCCGGGGCTGGGCCAGGCTGAAGCCAGGAGCCTGGAAATCCATGCAGGTTTCCCAACTGTGGGTAAGATCCCTAGTACGTGGGCCATTTTCCGCTGCCTTCCCAGGTTTATAAGCAGGAAGCTAGACAGGAAATGAAGTAGGCAGAATGTAATCAGTGCCCATATGGAATTTTGGTATTGCACACAGTGATGCTAGAATTCTGGTCCCTTTAATCAGAGTCTTAACACCTAGACCAAGCACCTGCCTCCCCCCCCCCCCCAAATTGCTGCTTTGAGTTCAGAATCTCACACTGAAAACACACATTCCCTGAATGCTGTGCATACCTCCTGGATACATATTCTGCAAATTGCTGGTGGATGACAGTGAAGGGGGAAATCTGTGAAGGCTCTGTATCACATCTGAAAGGGAATGGGTGGATACAGTGTGGCACATGCATCCAGGATATATATTTTTGGTGAGATGTGCTTCTTGTAGACAGTAAATAGATAGGTCTCATTTTTTAAACCATTCAGCCAGTCTATATATTTTAATTAGAGAGTTGAAGCCATTTACATTCAGGGTGACTATCGATAAATCACGACTTGGCCCAGCCTTTTACCCACAAATATTCTTATTGTTTGCTTTGGAATTCCTTTGTATTTTACTGGGAGATTTTCTGCCTTCACCTTCTTTCATGGTGATGGCCATGTTTCTTTTTCTGTGTGTAGCACATTCTTAAGCATCTTTTGTAAGGCTGGATGAGTGGTGACAAATTCTTTCAATTTCTGTTTGTTATGGAAGGTCTGTATTTCACCTTCATTCATAAATTAGAGCATTGCAGAGTACAGTATTCTGGGTTGGCAATTTTTTTCTCTTAATTTTGGAATATATCTTGCCATTGTCTCATAGCCTGTGGGGTTTCTGATCAGATGTCAGCTGTGAGTCTAGTTGGAGATCCTCTGAAAGTAATCTGGCATTTTTCTCCTGCACATTTTTTTTGACAGGCAGAGTGGACAGTGAGAGAGAGAGACAGAGAGAAAGGTCTTCCTTTTGCCGTTGGTTCACCCTCCAATGGCCGCCACGGCTGGCGCGCTGCGGCCGGCGCACCGCGCTGATCCGATGGCAGGAGCCAGGTGCTTCTCCTGGTCTCCCATGGGGTGCAGGGCCCAAGCACTTGGGCCATCCTCCACTGCACTCCCTGGCCACAGCAGAGAGCTGGCCTGGAAGAGGGGCAACCGGGACAGAATCTGGCACCCCGACCGGGACTAGAACCCGGTGTGCTGGTGCCGCAAGGTGGAGGATTAGCCTAGTGAGCCGCAGCGCTGGCTCTCCTGCATATTTTACAATCTTTTCCTTATGTTTTACTTTTGAGTGTTTGACTACAATGTATCATGGTGAAGATCTTTTCTGGTCATGTCTGTTAGGAGTTCTATGTGCTTCCTATACTTGGATGTCCCTTTCTTTCTCCAATTTAGGGAAGTTTTCTGTAATTATTTCACTAAAAAGCCCTTCTAATCCATTCTCTCTTTTCATACCTTCAGGAACTCATAAGACCTGTATGTTGAGTCCTTTGATAGTATCCCATAGATCTCCAACACAGTATCTTAATTTCCTAATTATTATTTCTCCTTCTTCTTCTTCTTCTTCTTCTTCTTCTTCTTCTTCTTCTTCTTCTTCTTCTTCTTCTTCTCCTTCTCCTTCTCCTTCTCCTTCTCCTTCTCCTTCTCCTTCTCCTTCTCCTTCTCCTTCTCCTTCTCCTTCTTCTTCTTCTTACCATAAAATTTCAAGAGCTTTGTCTTCTAATTCGAATATTCTTTCTTTTGCTTCACCGAGTCTTTAGTTAAGGCTTTCCAACACATTTTTATTTGATCTATTGAATTCCTCATTTCAAATATTTCATTTTAATTTCTCTTTAAAATCTCATTTTCATGGGAAAAATTTTCTTTCATGTTATGTATGGATTTCTTTAGTTTGTGGATTTTCTTCTGATTACTTCTTTTTTTTTAAATTTACTTATTTTATTTGAAAACCAGAGTTACAGAGAGGCAAAGGGAGAGAGAGAGAGAGAGAGAGAGAGAGAGAGAGATCTTCTATCTGCTGCTTTACTCTGCAAATGACTGAAATGGCCGGAGCTGAGCTGATCCAAAGCCAGGAGCCAGGAGCTTTTTCCGGGTCTCTCACGTGGGTGCAGGGGCCCAAGGACTTGGGCCATCTTCTGCTTTCCCCGGCCATAGCAGAGAGCTAGATCGGAAGTGGAGCAGGTGGGACTTGTACAGGTGCACATATGGGATGCCAGCACTGCTGGATGCAGCTTTACCTGCCATGCCACAGCACCAGGCCTCTGATTAATTCTAAGTAATCCTACAATCAATTTTTAATGCCTTTTCTGGCATTTCCTCAATGTCTTCATCTTCACATTCTAGTATTGAAGTGTTGTGGTCTTTTGGGGGCACCATGCAGTCTTCCTTATTCTTGTTTCTTGAATTGCTAGATTTATTTTTAGGTATTTGTGTTTTTACCCCTGTGATGGCTTTTATTTTTGGACTATTCCTCTGTAGATTTGTGTAGTGTCTGCTCTTTCAGTGAATACCCAGAGGTAAGTGCTATATTTGGTGAAGGAGCTCTGTTCAGTGCTCCAGTGTGCAGGGAGTGTCCACGGTGAAAACCAATTTGGGCATGGTAAATCTCCACTTTTTTTTTATCAGAGGGAAGGTTTGTTCAGCTCTGTTGGCATAGTCTCACACTCACTTCCTCTCCTCCATGGAGACCAATGCCTGGTTGCTAGCCCCATTGGGTAAATTTTCATCAGTGCTGCCACAAGAACCACTCAAATGATTCATGCAGTCTTCGCTGTGAGCCTGGGTTCTGTAGCAGAGACCCTCACCAGGGAGTCAGGGAGCCCCAGGTGTGTGGAGCCTCCCACAGTGACTGCCCAAGGTCCAGCCACACCCTGCGCCCTCCCACACAGCCACAGTGTTTTCACAGTCCCAGTACACCAGCCTCCCCCAATCATGAGCACCCAGCCCCCTGTCAATTCTCCCAGCCAGACTCAGGCATCTCCTCTTGGCTGGTTGAGGGGTGTGGACACAAGATGGTACAGCTATAAAGTATGTCCAAAATGGCAACCGACCTCTCTTGGCTAGAAACAGAATGCTAGTTCTAGGTAGTCAGGGAGATACACTGTCCCCCATAGGGTTCCATGCCTGATTCATGCCAGGCTCTTCCCACAGCTTTATTGCCAGTGGCTTGGGCTTCTGCAGCCTGGTCTCACCTCACTCCAAAGCTGGTGCTGAGGCTTTTGGCTCCTGGGGTCCTGAGCTGCATGCATATGTCTGTGTAGGTCCACAGTGTCTCTCCAATTTATCTGGAGTTTCCTTTGCCCTTCTCACCCTAACTCTTCCCTGAGATTGCACTGTCTCCACTTCTTTCAAACTATATTTCCTTATATCTGTTTCTTGTTACTGACCTCTGCCCATTCCCCTTCCCCCCTCAGGGGTGGAGATGGATTTTTCTTAATTTCTTGAGCAGGATTGGGGGCCAGTATTGGAGCTGCACGATGAAGTTCTGACCACATTCGATCTTACCAACAAACAACCCAGTTACAAAATGGACAAAGGATTTAAACAGGCATTTTTCAAAAGAGGAAATCCAAATGGCCAATAGACACATGAAAAATATTCAGATTCACTAGCCATCAAGGAAATGCAAATCAAAACCACAAAGAGGTTTCACCCCACCCCTGTTAGAAATCAACAAACAACAAATTATGGTGAGGATGTGGGGGAAAACGTACCCTAATCCACTGTTGGTGGGAATG